ATATTTTAATAAGATTAATTGATGAAGTTTGACATTAATATTTCAGATCTTTGTTAATCAAACAGATTTATTTAACAAATTAATGATCTTATGGACGGTTTATGTCATTGAATTGCCTGTTATATTTCATTCATGACTGTATAGCTCTTCGCAGTGCATGTATAGTAGATATCTAGAGAAAATTATATTAACATCATGAAATTAAGAAAACAAAAATATTTTTTCTATTATTGGACACGAATAATATTCTTTATTATATTCTGTATCTTGACTTTCTATGACTACAAAATAATTTTAATTTTTTTTATCATTATATTTGATCTGTTAATTCTTTTATATTAGAACTTAATTTCTTAAATTATAAAAAATAGGCTATATGAATCTTTAACGAAATTTTAAAGAATTATCCTTTAGAAGTATACATGATGTTTATTATATTTTTAACAGACACCAATCAACTTTTAATTGCATAGCATTTGCCAGAAGAATATTTTAATTATATATTACAAAAACTTGTAAGACAAAAAATGGGTAACTAAATTTTATTAAATTATGAAATGGAAAATATATAGAAAAAAATAAATACATAGGATATAAAGCATTGGAAATCCATTTCTGTTATTAATTTCAATAATTCATTTTATACTTTGTTCAGTAATTCATCTAATCTATCTATTTCTCATATCTAAGTTAATATTAGGAAACATCAAATGACCACTATTACGTTGTATTAAGAACAATGGCTCCACAAAATTTATGATTTGTACAGTTGTGCAATGTACATGTCAATTGTACAGTTTTTAGAGAGAGGGATATCTAGAACTATATATGACCTATAGTAATAGATAGATTACAGTAAATAACAGTCGACTTTTGTCTACGTTCATATGTGTTTCGTTCTGTAGTTGTCTATTGTAAGTTCCTCGGAAAGAATAATCTTCACGTAGTGGAAAAGCTGTTCCATCTTTCAAATACAAAATCTTTTTTTTAATGCAATTAAGTTTTATTGATTTTTATAATAATCGATTTTATCGACTTTTATTCAAGTTCAAATGGATATACCGGTTGACTTAGCAATTGAAGACGTTCTGTTAAAATTTTTTTACACGTAAACATATCATTCTATGCATCTATCTGTATTATTTTTGAATTGTTGTTCAGAATAATTTATTTCTTCTAATAAACAAGTGTAGCAATTATTTTTTAATAGTTTTATAGCATATAACGACAATCGTATATTTAAAATATTTTAGTATTTTTCTTCTTATTTAGATATATTATACACCCCAAAAAAATATTGTGCCGATATAAGCGGGGAATTTCTCTTAGCATTTTCTTTAATTATAAGCAAAAAATCTTACATAAATCAGGCGCATATATATTTATAATATGTATTTATCTAAAAATGAGGAAATGTACGTCTCATCATTTTTTAAGAAGGAATATACCAAAATTTTAAATTCACTTCGTTTTCTCCATATAATTTTTTTTTGTCGCTTTTAATAGGTTCGAATAATAATTTTCTTTACTACAAATAATAATCTTTGAATGCAAGTAATAATCTCTGATTAGTGCATTCTTTTATTAATGTGAAATAAATTTTAGAGGACAATTTCAAATAGAAAGTGACCTTGAATATTATGATAGTATTATAGTAATATGAATCAGCATTTGTATGCAACTATCTAATTAGCAGACAATATTTTGAAATATATAATATAAATATCTTACGATATTCGAGATCAAGATCATTTCCTTTTCGAATTTTTTCTCTACTAAAGTTTTATTTGTCATAATATAAAAAAACAAATAAAATTAATATTTTTGAAAAATTTTATTGCTATATGCTAATTAAAATAAAATTTCTTTTAATAATTCTCTATTTATACATCAAATATAATAGAGAACGTCAACACAGTCAAAGTTAGATGTTTTGACTAATATAATATATTCTTTTTAAATCAATTTATTTCAGATTGCGTACAGTTAACTTTTTGGCCTTTCACAATCAGTCTGAAATTGATAAATCTCCTCTAAATTAACAAAACCGGAATTACAAAACCGGAAAAAACTTGTTACGAAAAATATTATCTCAGCCAGGACTTCTCGACTTTTTGTTCTCTATTTATAATTTGATTTATAATTAATTCTATTAATCTCATTATTTTTAAACTGATTTCGATTTATTTCATGCATGATCATACATAGAATTTGTTTATGATGCAGTGATTTGAATCTAAATTCAGTAACATTGATCAACCGCGTTCAGGGTTTCTCCGGCAAAAAATATTTTTGACAAAATGGGTGTAAAGGTAAATATAAAAACGTTCTTTTGCACTTATTCTAGCTATAGATATAACCCTAATTATACACACTGGCGTCCCAGAAATCCTAGTGCAATTTGCTAGGTCAAGATTTTTTCGTGTTTCTGAACTTTCTTTTTTTTTATAAATCTATATATCTCTAAGCTTCTTAATTCTATCGACTTTTACAGATTTGTTCCTTAATCAATTCTCCATTGATTGATAAAAATTAATTTAAATATGTCCATTTTTACGAAGTTACAGTAACAAATATAGATGATAGATATCCTAGGGATCCGAGTATATTTATCAAGAATAGAAAGAAAAAGAGCTGGAATTAATATTCATTGTCAAAATCTTTGATACAAAGCAAATTTTCAATATATTTAAAATTCTTTAAAATTATATATAAAGGAGAGATATATATAAGAGAGAATATTTAATGCTTAGCAGTTGTAACGCTCAATTTTCACAGTGCTACATACTGAAGTACTTTTTTATCAAGGCAGTAGATTCTCGAGTATATACTCAATGCATTGATGAAATATATGCGAGAAAATACATATTAATTAAAGTCAAATTTATCGTCAATGTATGGACTAATGTGAAACATATAACCTAATTACAGAGAGTAAAACAAGCAATTGAAAAAATTTAACTATATGCTGTTCACAGAATTTTATTGTGGAAAATGGTGTTTACAAAGGAGAAGAGACGCATCAGTCGATTAAGTATAAGAGCCTTGGAGAATTAATGTGGGTTAGCATTACAAGTCATGAGGACAAAATTGCACATGTGAGTAGAAGTTTACACGTAATATTAATTTTTATTAATTTGCAAGAAGATATAACTTTTAAAGTTATAAAGTTTTACTAAAAATGAAAAAAAGTTTAAAAGTTTAGAACAATAAAGAGCAAATTAAAACTATATTTGAATTTTAACATTTTCAAAAACATTTGAAAATGTTGTTAAAATAAATTTATAGCATTAATATGCTTTATAGCAGTAATAATATTATATGTATAACAAAAAGTAGCAGATTAAAATTAGCTATTTCTTTATAGAAAAAAAAAATTATTATTTAAGAGTCAACGCGATTAACAATGCGCAAAGAAATTTTAATTAATAGTTAACAAATATGCATATGTACGTTTCAACTCAATTATATAGGTTTTTATCAATGCAAATATAAGCTATTGATAATACATAAATATACCGAATGATAGCGAATAATGTCTTATAATTATGTGTGAACAACGCATGATGTCTTGCCTAATCAATTATTGCAGAAGTTAAAGTTGCGAACAAAAAAGTCCATAAATTAAAAGTATTATATATATATATAAAACAGTGGTCGATTGTTAGATAAACTAATGTATAAACGCCAGTATACAATTAAAATGCCTTCCAAACAATGTATCGTCATCTGATAAGTCATCTCATATAACTATCCGAACAATATGAAAAAACAAGTGCTGATAGTACTCAGTATAAAATAGCGTTACGCTAAATATACATAATGTAATATAAAAAGATGATAAAAAATTTTTTTTAAATATAATATAAAAGATAAAAAAGAGCATTGTGTTGAATACATATAATGTAATATACAAGAGATGAAATATATAAAGCTGAATATAATGTGCTAATTAAAATTAAATAATGTGAAATGTAAAGAATTGAATTATATCGAAAATGACAATCGAGTAATGATGTTATATTACAATATCTTAACTTACATGAGAATGATACGGAGAGATTTTTTTAATGTTACCGTGACAAATGAAAATGATATTAAAGCGAAATAAATTTCTTAACTATGTTGGTTAAGAGTTAAAGCAATAATGACGGAAAAATATATAAACAAATGTTCTTATACTAATAGATCAAGAAACAACATGATTTTTCTGAAAAAATTTTTTTTTCTGAAAATTTTTCTGAAAAATAATTAAAAGGATAATTTTCATATTGTTTGTTTTAGAAAAAAATCATGTTTAAAGAAATGTAAAAGAATTACTTATGTATAATTATATATGAAATTATGCATAATTGTGTATGGATAATTTTTTATACATTTTAAATTGTTTTTTTTTTAAATAAACAATGCGAAAATGATCCTTTTAATTATTTTAATGTTTTCACATTATTATTAATATTTCTATTACACTAAAAAGTAATTTTACAAAAAGAAAAAGAGATGTATAAACATGTATGGACATATTTCATGTATATGATTATACATGTTTATGAATATTTATGTATGTTTATAAATATTCATACATAAACAATTTTTTACCGAGATTTAATTTAAGGACTTTTTAGATCAATGGGATACAAATCCAATGTCAAAATTGACAAATTCAAAATCATGACACTTCTATATAATAATTTTTGCAAAAATACAAATATTTTTCAAGTTTTGACATCCGCTATGTTAATTTTCGTTTATTAATTAAGTCTTGAATTTAAAATTTTATATAATAATAATATTATACAGTTGGACGCACGCACTGATGAAACGTTTACATACGCGGAGTTGCAAGATAAAGCTGTGAGATGCGCTTTATGGTTACAAAAGCAACGAATCAAATGTGGCGACGTTATTAGTGTGTGTACGAGTAATCACCCCAACTCTATAGTGCCCTGTGTTGCAGCGGCATATGTCAATGCAATCTTTAATCCATGGAACGAAGATATGGACTTACGTAAGATTTCTCGATCATATATCAAATATTATATGTTATCTTAAATATTTTTACATATTACATTTGATTAGATAAGTGTATTTTTAATAATAATGAGCGCGAATAAAAATTTTCTATCTTACAATAATTAAACATAATTTTTTCTTATTTATTTATTGATTTATATAGTAATATTTACATAATACTTCTTTATTAATTATGAAGCATTTGTTATCAGCAACTGCATTGCACGTTTTGCAACTGACTACGCCGAAGGTAATTTTCTGCAGCGAGAAATCTGTGGGTGTCATTTTAAAAGCGATGAAAGAGAAAAATTACAATCCCATGGTGGTAATTTTCGGTAATCATGACAGCGCGATTTCATTGTCTGATATCCTGAGGAATTGTAACAATGCGGAAGCTGCAAATTTCCGATATGTTGAGCTTGACGATGTCAAGAAGACGGCATGCATCATGCATTCATCGGGCACGACGGGAATGCCAAAGGGCGTTGAATTGTCTAACCATACTATGTTACTCATGAAGGACAATAGTACCTTGAATATGACAAATGTGCCAACACTTTGGTTCTCATCTCTTTATTGGATCAGCGGAGTAATGCTGAACGTGAAAGCGATTTCGCAGGGTGCCACAGTGATCCTTTATTCACAATTCGACGAGGACATGACTTGCCAATTAATTGAAAAATATAAAGTAATGTTATTTGTCAAAATTTAATTTTTTTTTAAACTTAATTTATTGCATAATTAAAATTTAAATACAATTTCTAATCTTTAAAATTTTTCTGATTTAAAAATAATGGAAAAACAAATTCTGATCTAAATAACTGCCATATTTTAGTCTGCTAATATAGATTTTTTGCTGCAAAATAATTTTTGTAAGTGATGTCAACTAATATAGGTTTTTTTGCGAATTTTATAACAAAATTGAATCAATTCCTTTTAAACAAATTATATTTAATGTATAGTTAAAATAATTCATGATATATTTTGTTATAATAATAATGTTACAAATTTGTCAAAATTGTTCATCGCTCGATGAGATAGGAATGTATCTTTAATATAAGGAGTGTATCTTTGTATGCATTTATTTTGATTTTATTGTTAAGATAAATGTAAATTGCTACTCCGAGGAAATATATTATCGTAATCTTTATATCTATTTGTTACGTTGCATAATTAAATTTAAAAATACAGAAAGTATTAAAATTTAAAAATATAACATTTTTATTTATTCAGGTAGCAGTTTTGTTTCTTAGCTCGAGTATGATAAATCGATTTGTCAGAGCAGGTTACGTAAAGAAATATTCATTAAATTCTTTAAAAGTTATATTAGGTGGTGGTGCAATAATTAAGCCAAAAGTGCAGGAAGAACTAAGACATTGTTTACCACACGTTCAGATATTACAAGGTTATGGTAAATATCATTAGAATGCGATAAAATATTAATATTTAAATTTATGTTATGTATGTTGAAACAATTTTCTTGTGTTATTAGGAATGACAGAAGTCGGTGGTCTTATAACATGTCAATTACCGAATCACAAAGACGGATCTTGTGGGATAGTAGCTAAGAATGTACAAATAAAAATTGTGAATCCTGAAAGCGGGAAAGTACTTGATCCGAATCAATCGGGAGAAATATGGATAAAATCTGCAAGCATGATGAATGGTTATTATAGGAATCCTGAGGCAACAAAAAGTACAATTGATGAAGAAGGTAAATATTATATGCATTATTAATTAACAATAGAAATAAAATTTACGTTCGACTCCCAAATCATTTATCTATCTTGAGAATATTATTTTAAAAAGTTAATTTTTATTTACAGTTTAAAAAATTAATATTAATTTAAATCATAACATTCAAATCATTTGCAGAATATTAATAATAAGTAAGTGCAATAATTAATGCTGTAAAGTATTGTATAAGAGAAAATACAGACAATCCAAGAATCTATAATAATTGTTTCTTTATATAGAAACATTTTTTGAGATCAATCATTCTACTTGGAAACTTATGTTTGAGAAATAAAATTGCATAACAGTCGGAGGATTAAAAAGAAAGAAGAAAGATTAGAAAGAAAGATTAATTATAAGTTAATTAATTGACTAATGCAAACTGAATAAATTCTGTTCCATAAAATCTAAAAGTATATAACTAGTAATAGAAATCTAATATCACGAAAATAAACGTAGAACTCTTTCAGGGTGGCTGCATACAGGTGATATCGGTTATATTGATGAAGATGGAGAATTGTTCATTATTGATAGAATAAAGGAACTCATAAAGTATAGAGGATATCAGATCTCACCCGGAGAAATCGAGGGTGTCTTAATATCACATCCAGCAGTATTAGAAGTTGCAGTAATATCGATACCTCATGCAACAGATGACGAACATCCTCTTGCATATATTACCAAAAAGCCTGGCGCCAAGGTACAATTTTTTATTGTGATAAGTCAGTAGAATACAAATTTACAAAATTAAATGTATCAGTTATATATCTACATTTGTTTGTAACTAATACAAAATGCATCTAGTACATATACAATCCAAATAAGAATAATTGCGAATCCATTTTAAATATTCTAAAAAACATTGTTTAAAAAATATAGTGAATATAGTGAATATAATTCATATTTATAATGATAAAAATTTGTCTTTGCTTGTTTTTGTAGATATGTCAGACAAATATTATATGTCAGACAATGTATATTATATATTTTTTTGATACAGAATAAAAAATATGATTAAATTGTGTTTTTACAGGAGACGGAGCAAGACTTAATAGACTTTGTAGCAAAAAATATGATGGATCACTACAAACTTCGTGCTGGAATTATATTTTTAGATGCTTTTCCGTATACAGGTTCAGGGAAAATTGCAAGGAAAGATTTAAAAGAAATGAGTAAAAAATTATTTTAACGCACTAGTTAATTATACGTCTTAAATATATATATATATATGTATATATAT